GACCCATGCCAAATCTTTTCAGTCTCCTTAGGGGGAATAGGCTTTGTCGTGCCCTCTTCACGACTGTCTTGGTGTGTTTGGACCATGATAGTTCGTTGGTGATGTGGACACCAAGGAACTTGAAGCTCTCAACCTGTTCCGCTACAGCCCTGTCGATGAGAATGGGGGCGTGCTCAGTCCTCTTTTTGTTCCTGTAGTCCACAATCATCTCCTTTGTCTTGATCACGTTGAGGGAGAGGTTGTTATCCTGGCACCACACGGCCAGGTCTCGGACCTCCTCCCTATAGGCTGTCTCATCGTTGTCGGTGATCAGGCCTACCACTGTTGTGTTGTCAGCAAACCTAATGATGGTTTTGGAGTCGTGCCTGGCCATGCATTCATGGGTCAACAGGGAGTACAGGAGGGGACTGAGCATGCACCCCTGAGGGGCCCCCGTAGTCTGTAATAGTTTTCAAGCCCTGCCACATCCGACGAGTGTCAGAGCTGGTGTAGTACGATTCAATCTTAGTCTGGTATTGACTCTTTGCCTGTTTGCTGGTTCGTCGGAGGGCATAGCGGGATTTCTTATAAGCTTCCAGGTTAGAGTCCTGCTCCTTGAAAGCGGCAGCTCTACCCTTTAGCTCAGTGCGGATGTTGCCTGTAATCCATGGCTTCTGGTATGTACGTACTGTCACTGTGGAGACGAAGTCATCGATAAACTTATTGATGAAGCCAGCGACTGATGTAGTGCACTCCTCAATGCTATCTGAAGAATCCAGGAACATATTCCAGTCTGTGCTAGCAAAACAGTACTGTAGCTTAGCATTTGCATCATCTGACCACTTTTTTATTAACCGAGTCACTGGTGCTTCCTGCTTTAGTTTTTGCTTATAAGCAGGAATCAGGAGGATATAGTTATGGTCAGATTTGCCAAATAGAGGGTGAGGGAGAGCTTTGTATGCGTTTCTGTGTGTGGAGTAAAGGTGGTCTAGAGTTTTTTTTCCTCTGGTTGCACATTTAATATGCTGGTAGAAATTAGGTAGAACGGATTTAAGTTTCTCTGCATTAAAGTCCCCGGGCCACTAGGAGCGCTGCCTCTGGATTAGCATTTTCATGTTTACTTATGGCCTTATACAGCTCATTGAGTACAATCTTAATGTCAGCATCGGTTTGTGGTGGTAGAAAAGCTACAAAAAATATAGATGAAAAGTCTCTTGGTAAATAGTGTGGTCTACAGCTTATCATGAGATACTCTACCTCAGGCGAGCAAAACCTTGAGACATCCTTAGTATTAGATTGTGTGCATCAGCTGTTGTTTACAAATATACACAGACCGCCAGCCCTTGTCTTACCGGAGTCAGCCATTCTATCCTGCCGATGTAGCGTATATCCCGTCAGCTGTATGTTGTCCATGTCTTCATTCAGCCACGACTCGGTGAAACATATTACAGTTTTTAATGTCCCATTGGTAGGATAACCGTAATCTTAGGTCGTCCAATTTGTTCTCGAATGATTGAACATTGGCTAATAGGATTGATGGAAGAGGCAGTTTACTTGCTCGCCATCGGATCCTTACAAGGCACCCCGACCTACGTCCACGATATCTCCGTCTCTTTCTCATGCGAATGACGGGGATTTGGTCCAGCTCGTTGAAGAAAAAATCTTTGTCCAAAACAAGGTGAGTAATCGCTGTCCTGATATCCAGAAGCTCTTTTTGGTCATAAGAGACGGTGGCAGAAACATTATATACAGAATAAATTACAAATAATGCGAAAAAACACAAATAATAGTACAATTGGTTAGAGGGCTGGTTCAAGTCATCAGTCAGCTTACCAGGGTATTTACAAATAGAACAGGAACTAAATCATCCACGTGTATTGATCACATCTTTACATTTTAGTCATTTAGCAGACGCTCTTATCCAGAGCAGCTTACAGTTAGTGAGTGCATACATTTTCATACTGGCCCCCCGTGGGAATCAAACCCACACCCTGGCGTTGCAAGCGCCATGCTCTACCAACTGAGCTACACGTCTTTACTAACGTAGCAGAAATCTGCAATAAAAGCAGTATCCACACCAATCGGATTTAGTGATCATAATATAATAGACATATCTAGAAAAAACAAAGTTCCAAAGACTGGACCTAAAATTGTGTATAAACGATCATATAAGAGGTTTTGCAATGATTCCTATGTCGAAGATGTGAAAAAATATTTGTTGGTCTGATGAGTGTAATGAGGAACATCCGGACGCTGCACTTTCAGCATTTATGAAACTGCTTCTTCCGGTTACTGATAGGCATGCACTCATCAAGAAACTGACTGTTAGAACTGCCAAATCCCCATGGATAGATGATTAATTGAAAAACTGTATGGCTGAGAGGGATGAGGCAACGGGAATAGCAAATAAGTCTGGCAACACAGCAGACTGGCAAACCTACAGTAAACTGAGAAATCACGTAACTAAACTAAACAAAAAAGAAGAAAAAACTACACTATGGAGAAAAGATAAATTATATAAAGAATGATAGTAAAACACTCTAGAATACTTTAAATTAAATTCTAGGCAAAAAATAAAACTTGAATAACTTTTTTTGTTGACAAGATTAGCAAAGTTAGTTATGACATGGAAACAACTCATGCTGAGCCTTCATATTCATGCATAATGGACCGAATAATGAAAGACAAGCACTGTAGTTTGAGTTCAACAAAATGGGTGTGGAAGAGGTGAAAAACGTGTTGCTATCTATAAATAAGGACAAACCACCTGGCACCAACAACCTGGATGGTAAATTGCTGCGGTTGGTAGCGCAATACATTGTGACTCCTGTTTGCCACATCTTCAATTTAGGCCCAGTAGACGGTGTGTGCCCTCAGACATGGAGGGAGGCAAAGGTCATTCCACTACCCAAGAATAGAAGAGCACCCTTTAATGCTTCAAACAGCCGACCAATCAGCCTGTTTAAAAGTGCTTGGCAAACTTTTGGAAGAAATTGTGTTTGATCAAATACAAAATTATTTTACAGAAAACAATTTAACAACAGACTTCAGCATGCTTATAGGGAAGGGCACTCAACATGCTCGGCACTGATACAAATGACTGATGATTGGCTGTAAGAAATTGAGAGTAAGAAGATTGTGGGAGCTGTTTTGTTAGACTTCAGTGCAGCTTTTGATGTCATTGATCATTACCTATTGCTGGATTTCCATCATCTGCCTTATTATGGATTGAGTTACCTATTTCATAGAACACAGAGGGTTTTCGTTAATGGAAGCCTCTTTCATGCAAATTCAGTTAAATGTGGTGTACCGCAGGGTAGCCGGCTAGGACCATTAATGTTTTCTGTTTTTACAAATGACCTTCCACTGACCTTGAATAAAGCCTGTGTGTCTATGTACGCTGACGACTCAACAGTATACACGTCGGCTGCAACAGTAAAATAAATAACTGAGAAAAATTAACATAGAGCTCCAGTCAGTTTTAGAATGGGTAAGTAGCAATAGGCTAGTGCTAAATATCTCAAAAACTAAAAGCATAATTTTTGGGACAAATCACTCGCTCAACGCTAAACCTCGTTTAGATCTATTATTGAATAATGTGGCTATTGAGCAACTTTAGGAGACTAAACTGCTGGGTGTACCCTGGATAGCAAGCTGTCATGGTCAAAATAGACTCAATGATTGCTAAAATGGGAAGAGGTATGTCCATGATAGGGTGTTGCTCTGCCAGACAGGTACTGCAGGCCCTAGTTTTGTCGCACCTGGACTACTGCCCAGCTGTGTGGTCATGTGCGGCAAAGAAGAACATAGGTAAATTGCAGTTGGTCCAGAACAAAGCAGCACGTATTGCACTTAGATGTACATGGAGGGAAAGTGTCAGTAACATGCATGTCAGTCTCTCCTGGCTCAAAGTTGAGGAGAGATTGACCGCATCACTATTGGTCTTTGTGCGAGGTATTGATGTGTTGAAGTTACCGGACAGTCTGTTCAAGCAGTTGGCACACAGTTAGGACACTCATCGGTACAACACAAGACATGCAACCAGAAGTATCTTCCCAGTCCCCGGGTCTAGAACAGAGGCTGGGAAACGCACAGTATTAAATGGAACTCTCTGCCACCCCAGGTAACTCAAGCTAGCAATAAAACAAAAAAATTGATTTAAAAAACACCTTATTGCGCAAAGGGGACTGTGAAGAGACAGCCATTTTACATATCTTGTATTGTAATTTGCACTGTACTTTGTATTAGATCTAGCTATTGTGTGTATGTACCGATATGTAGGCTATGTGTGACGTTTTAAATGTATGTATTTCAGTCCTTGACTAATAATGTTCTGTACTATGTATTATGTTATGTTTCATGTGGACTCCAGGAAGAGTAGCTGATGCTTTTGCAGTGGCTAATGGGGATCCTAATAACTACCCCAAATTGAAAAAAAAAACTATATAGCTATCTCTCGGTCTCTCTGTCTCTCTTTCTTGCTTCTCCTTCATTTTTGAAGGAATTACTTTGTTCAAAACTGTTCAACTATTGTCTTCTCTCTCTTTGAGTCAACTACTCATCACATTTTATGCACTGCAGTGCTAGCTAGGATGGACAACATGTCAGTTCATGCTACAAGAGCTCTGATAGGTTGGAGGACACCCTCCGGGAAGTTGTCATAATTATTGTCTAAGTCTATGGAAAGGGGTGTATTGAAGTCAATGTACCCAGAGGAGGAAGGAAACTAGCTGTCCTCCGGCCACACCATGGTGCTACCCTACAGAGTGCTGTTAAGGCTACTGTAGACCTTCTTTGCAAAAAAATGTATTTTAATCAATTATTTGGTAACGTGAATATATTTAGTATAGTTTTATCTAAAAAGGATATTTTCTTTTTTTTTCTCCACTATTTTTATTTTTATGAAATTGACTGAGGAGGATGGTCCTCCACTTCCTTCTCTGAGGAGCCTCCACTGCTGTACACAGTCCATCAATGTGTGTGTGTACCTCTTTGAGTCCCCGGCAGAAGCGTTCAAACACTCTCTTCATGTTGCCTCCCTTCTCCATGGAGATGACCCTGGTATGGTCTTCCTCGTTGATCCAGATCAGGAAGGTCTTCTCATTGTTGTGCCTTGGGGATAGTGAAGAGGATAGGGGAGAGGAAGGAAGGAAGGGAGAGAGAGAGAGAGAGAGAGAGAGAGAGAGAGAGACGAGAGAGAGAGAGAGAGAGAGAGAGAGGAGAGAGAGGAGAGAGAGAGAGAGAGAGAGAGAGAGAGAGAGAGAGAGAGAGAGAGAGAGAGAGAGAGAGAGAGAGAGAGAGAGACATAGAACATGAGAAAGCGGAGAGTACTCTGAGTACTCTCAACAGCAGTAACTGTTCCAGGTCTCAGGCGTAAGACCAAGAAAACAGATAATGTGTTCCTGTAAAACAGGAGAAATAATGACACAGTTGGCTTGTGTCTTGAAATCTTCTCTCAGTTTAATTTAATAAAATATATATAAAAGGTGCAACAGTGTCAATTATCTCAGTTGTAGCAATTATCATTTCACAGTTACATAAAATAACTATAGTAAAGAAAGTACATTTCCCACCTTTTCCCATTCCATCTTCAGTCCCCTAAACTATTACATAACCATAGCTATTGATATCCAATAACCAAAATAAAGCTATCCAATAAAAATAGTGCAAATTACATAGCTGTTATGTAAAACCACCAAATTGTATATTTGTCCAATACATCCCAAAGATTACCCACTATAAAAATATAATTAAACATGCTTCTCAAAGTTATACATTACGAGTTCCAATCAGTGCACAGTTAACACTAAAATGCATGAACAGCTAAACAAGGCTAAATGTTCTGAATTCTGTCGCTATACATTTCAAAAGTGCTAAACAAATAGTTATTTTGACTATGTCCATCCTAGATCGCTCATTAATGTCTTAATCGAAATTACGGATTACCTCTTTTCCGCTTGTCGTCCCCTTATGCCATAGTTTGTACATCTCAATTGTCATTAGAAACCACATTTGTTTAAGCAAGTCAGCCATATCAGCTATGTTTTTTTAAAAGGCAGTAAATGAGGCTGAATTAACTGTTTCGCTGCCAGAGAAGGCTCTGCTGATAGTCAGGTGTAGCAGTGGAAAGATGTTGGGACTGCTGTTGGGACCCTGCTGTTGGGACAGCTTTATGTAGGCCCTAACAGTTTGTGGGCACTGTTTGTCACCGTTATAGTGCAATTAATGTATTGTTTAATGTTGTGTTGTGTAGTGGCTTTTCTGGCATGCATCCCAATTTTTGTTTTTTTGTTTGCCCCACCAAGATTTACTAAGCAGGTTTTGTTAAACTGGAGGAGTTTGCTACATAGCTCTTCAAAGCTAGACATTAACTTAAGGTGCACTTGAGTATCAATATTTGGGTTAGCATTAGCTACATTAGATGATTTATCTAAGGATTCATTAGTACAATATATAGGTATCTAAATCTGAGCCATCGTTTAATTTAATAAAGTCCCCAGGAGCTTAACATATTTTTATCACTTTGAAATGTCCACGATGCCATTTTGTTTAGGTTCACCACTATTTTAAATCCTTTCCACCTAGCGTGGCTCCAGTCATTTTAATGTTGAGGCTTAGCATTTCCTTATTTTTATAAAAATACTAAGAAATGCAACACAACCCATTGTATAGTTAGCTAAACATGTTATATAAACATATATATTTTTTTACACATTACTAAGCTGTAAAACAAGAGAAATAATGAGACAGAGAAAAGTTGGCTTGTGACCATCCATTTTGTGTGCATCACATAACCAAACATCTCAGCTGCTTCTTAACACACAGGCTGACCAGCTCTGGTTAGTTACTGTATGAGGAGGACAAATGGCTAAAACAGGCGGTGTGACACGTAAATTAGGCATCTGCAGTGATCAAGCCATGCCATGGTGAAAGTTATCTTGTCTAAATATGTTCATTGTTAGCCGAAGCATATCGTTCCTTCCAAGTGATTCCTATTACCAAGGGACTTCAAAAGCATTCACTCACACACAGACACGTAAGCACACATACACACACACAGGTGCAGCAGGCCTCATGCACCGTACCAGATGCCTCTGGCGTCGGGCCAGTCACGGGCCATGAAAGCACAGGTGAGCAGGGGCGATACAGGCTTGTCAAAGAGGAAATGATCCTAGAGTGGAGGGGGAAAGGAGGGAGGGAGAGAGAGAGGGGGGAGAGAGGAGAGTGGTAAGGAGGGATGAAAATGACAACGAAGGAAAGGAAGGGTGAGAGGGAGGAGAGGAAAAAGAGGAGAAGAGAAGGAAGGATCAGGGTCACTGAGAAGGTGGCGGGAGGATGAACCAAGGAAAGAGAAGCATATAATTGGTTGACCATCGTCTGAGGCAGCAGATGAATGGTTGACCATCGCCTGAGGTACACCGTTCTCATGACAGCACTGTTCACCTATAGGGCTCACAATGTCAGCACACTAGGTCCTCTATTTAATAAGGAACACTAGTCTTCAGGGCAACACCATTCACATCGCTACAGGGCACTCTTTTTGGCAGGGTGAACTATTCTTCAGGGCAGCGCCACTCACGTCACGATAGGGCCCACTGTTTGGGGGCCCACTATTTGCCAGGATGCACTATTCTTCAGGGCAGCACCACACACATCATGATAGGGCTCACTTTTTGGGGGCACACTATTTGGCAGGGTGCACTATTCTTCAGAGAAGTGCTTTTAAAATAGAGTTCACTAGTTCTTGGGGATGCATTACTCCTCTCAGCCTTACCTGATCCCACGCACATCAGGCCAGTCTTTGGCCATCCCAGCAGCCGTAAGCAGCAGAGACACAGGCTTGTCAAACAGGAAGTGCTCCTGATTGGCCAGCACATGGACAGAGGGACCAGCGGTCATTAGAGGTCAAAGGTTCAATTTAGTTACACTGACCATAGACCATAGAATAATATCAACTAGCTCATTCTTGCACATTAGTTGTGATGAGATGGCCACGTTTGTCCTTTATAGCATGGCCATCTAGATGTGTACGTGTGTGTGTGTGTGTGTGTGTGTGTGTGTGCATGGGTGTGCATATGTGTGTGCACGAGTGTGTGTATACTCACGTCAATAAGGTTCTGCTGCTCTTTGTCTGTCATGTCTCCCAAGCTGTAGTAGCGTCCAGCCAGGTCTCCTTTCAGACCAGAAAGGGCCTGAACTGCAACACGCTCCACCTCACGGCGCTCTGAGCGTGTGCAGGCTGGCGGCAGGCTCAGCCCGCGGATACTACGGCCGGTACGCACACGAGATGACAGGACATATTTCTCATCAAACATACCGTTTTTGATCTGGACAGGGAGAGGGAATCGGAATCACTCAATCAATCAGTTAAATCTTACTGCTTTGCTCCAAGTTGGGCTCGTTCAAACCTGCCAGTACCAAAAGGAGGGGGGGAGTGGATAAATGGGAGGAGTACAGGGACCAGAATGGAACCAAATCTTGTTACCTTAGATGAGTCCAGGTCAGTAGGATGTTTCATGTTTTGAGGGTCGTATCCGTTGTGTCTGTCCTTAATGACTGGGTTAAACAGATCGCCAAACACCTGGGGACGCACACACAAGAGACTTTACATTCAGACAGCTAGTCAAACTCAACAGGTATCTAAATATGGGTGATCTGTGCCACTCAGGACCATGTTAGCCCACCATGCTAAAACCTGCGCTTAAACTCTATGTTAACACAAACCTTCAGGTCTTATGCAGCAAACACACACACGCGCACCTCATAGCTCTCTTCGTCTCCAGCCACCATGCCCACGGTCTTGATGAAGGGGTGACCAGGGTTGTCCACCCCAGTCTGGATGCACTGGTCCAGGCTCCAGTTGTTGGGGGTCAACTTGTCCCTCAGCTTACTATAGATGGCCGGGGTCAGGCAAGACGCCATGCAGTTGTTATGCTTCCTCAGGTCAGGGAAGTCAGCACTGAAAGAGAGAGGGAGAGAGAGAGAGAGAGAGAGAGAGAGAGAGAGAGAGAGAGAGAGAGAGAGAGAGAGAGAGAGGAAGGAGGGAGGGAGGGAGGTGGAGGAGAGAAAGGAAAAGAAGATAGGAAGAAAGACAAAAAGAGGGAGAGAGAGCAAATGATCAACAAAAACACACACAAACACTGGGTGAATAAGATTCCATGAAACTAGAGTCACCCTCATAGAGACAAAAACAACCCAATGTACAGCCTAATGCCAATCTCATGTTGTCAGTTTTGTCTTCTTTCTGGCTAGTGGGAACTACCAGTTAGTATAGGTTACGTCCCAAATGGCACCCCATTCCGTATTAAGTACACTTCTTTTGACCATCCCTGGTCGAAAGTAGTGCACTAGATCAGAAATAGGGAGCCAATAGGGACACATCCATAGAGTCATTCAGGAACATAAGTCACGTGACCAGGAAATAGGAAGCAAAAGGTTTGAGTGGTGATAGAGCGCTTCTGTGAATATACAGTACCAGTCAAAAGTTTGGACACGCCTACTCATTCAAGGGTTTTTCTTTATTTTTACTATTTTCTACATTGTAGAACAATAGTGAAGACATCAAAACTATGATATAACACATATGGAATCATGTAGTAACCAAAAAAGTGTTCAACAAATCAAAATGTATTTCAGATTTTAGATTCTTCAAATTAGCCACCCTTTGCCTTGATGACAGGTTTGCACACTCTTGGCATTCTCTCAACCAGCTTCACCTGGAATACTTTTCCAACAGTCTTGAAGTAGTTCCCACATATGCTGAGCACTTGTTGGCTGCTTTTCCTTCACTCTGCGGTCCAAATCATCCCAAACCATCACAATTTTGTTGAGGTCGGAGGATTGTGGAGGCCATTTAATCTGATGCAGCACTCCATCACTCTCCTTCTTGGTCAAATAGCCCTTACACAGCCTGGAGGTGTTTTGGGCTATTGTCATGTTGAAAAACAAATGATAGTCCCACTAAGCGCAAACCAGATGGGATGGCGAATCGCTGCAGAATGCTGTGGTAGCCATGCTGGTTAAGTGTGCCTCGAATTCTAAATAAATCACTGACGGTGTCACCAGCAATGCACCCCCACACCATCACACCTCCTCCTCCATGCTTCACGGTGGGAACCACACATGCGGAGATCATCCGTTCACCTACTAAATCTCAAATTTGGACTCATCAGACCAAAGAACAGATTTCCACCGGTCTAATGTCCATTGCTCGTGTTTGTTGGCCTAAGCAAGTCTCTTCTTCTTATTGGTGTCCTTTAGTTGTGGTTTCTTTGCAGCAATTCAACCATGAAGGCCTGATTCACACAGTCCCATCTGAACAGTTGATGTTGAGATGTGTTTATTACTTGAACTCTGTGAAGCATTTATTCGGGCTGAAATTTCTGAGGCTGGTAACTCTAATGAATTTATCCTTTGCAGCAGAGGTAACTCTGGGCCTTCCTTTCCTGTGGCGGTCCTCATGAGAGCCAGTTTCATCATAGCACTTGATGGTTTTTGCGACTGCACTTGAAGAAACTTTCAAAGTTCTTGAAATGTACCGGATTGACTGACCTTCATGTCTTAAAGTAATGATGGACTCTTTTACTAATAGTAAAAATAAAGAAGAACCCTTGAATGTGTAGGTGTGTCCAAACATTTGACTGATAGTGTATATATATTCGTTTATTTTATTGGCCCATCCCGGAGGACAAAAGTAACTTTGTTACAAATATATGTTTACATAATGGTACTTTTTCACATAATATCACATAACATTTTTTATTTTATATGCACATTTGGATTCATTGGATTTTATTACATTTGAATTCATAGTGCTCAGACATGTCCAGTAAACATTATATATATTCTTTTCAGTCACAACTATTACAGATTAATAATTTGTACAGATTAAATCCATCCCTCAGCTTCTCTCAGCCCATCTCACCTATCTCCATAGACCACCTCTCTTGATTTCCTTATGCCATATATTTTTCAACTGTACTGAGATGTCTTACATAGATTCTGAACCTTTCTAATCGCATATTAATATTTTTGCCAAGCGTATTGACTATGGCTTTCCAGATGGCCAACATTGCTATTTGTAGGGTTTATTTTACAACAATGTTATGACTTTTTAGCCACTCCTGAACCTGTGACCAGAGACCAGCTAAAAGGGGGCAATACCAAAATAGATTATCCAGTGATTCAATCTCTTCATAGCAGAATCTGCATAGTTGACATGGTTGTCAAGCTCTTAATAAATTTTGCAGTATTTTGTTTTTTATACATTATTTTTTACATTAATAGTTCAGAAAGTGTTTAGAATCATTACATACAGCCGGGAAAAACTATTGGATATCAAAGCGGCGGTAAATCACCAGCATTACGACCAGGAATACTGCTCTCCCGAAGCAGATCGTTTGTTTGCTCTCCCCAGGGCAATTGAACTGATTCCAGCGACTGACCTAAAACATTGCCGGCGGAGGAGAGGCACTCGGAGCGGCCTGCTGGTTCGACTTAAGAGGCGCGCACACCACCCACCGCTTCCAAGTATACTACTCGCTAATGTTCAGTCTCTGGTTAACAAGCTCAACGAGCTCCAGGCAAGGATTTCTTTCCAGAGAGACATCAAGGACTGTAACATACTTTGTTTCACGGAAACATGGCTCTCTGGGGATATTCTGTCGAAATCGGTCCAGCCAGATGGGTTCTCAGTTCATCGCGCAGAAGGAATAAATATCTCTCCGGGAAGCAGAAGGGCTGAGGTGTGTGTTTCATGATTAACGACTCATGGTGTAATTGTAGTAACATACAGGAACTCAAGTCGTTCTGTTCACCCGACCTAGAATACCTCAGAATCAAATGCTGACCGTATTATCTCCCAAGATAAAAAAATTCGGTTATAGTCACGGCCGTGTATATCCTCCCTCAAGCCGTTACCACAACGGCCCTCAAAGAACTTCACTGGACTTAATGCAAACTGGAGACCACAAATCCTGAGGCTGCATTTATTGTAGCTGGGGCATTTTAACAAAGCAAATTTGAGGACTAGGCTACCGATGTTCTATCAACATATCGACTGTTGTACTCACGCTGCTAAAATCCTCGACCATTGCTATTCGAACTTCCGGGATGGTTATAAGGCCCTCCCCCCCTCCTTTCGGCAAATCTGACCATGACTCCATTTTGCTCCTCCCTTCCTACAGGCAGAAACTCAAACAGGAAGTACCCGTGCTAAGGACTATTTAATGCTGGTCTGACCAATTGGAATCTACACTTCAAGATTGTTTTGATCACTCGGACTGGGATATGTTCCAGGTAGCTTGCAAAAATAATTTAGATGAATACACTGAAACGGTGACTGAGTTTATCAGGAAGTATATAGGTGATGTTGTGCCAACTGTGACTATTAAAACCTACCCTAACCAGAAACCGTGGATAGATGGCAGCATTCGCGCAAAACTGAAAGCACGAACCACCACATTTAACCATGGGAATATGGCAGAATACAAATAGTTAGCTACTCACTCCGCAAGGCAATTAAACTGGCAAAACATCAGTATAGAGAAAAAGTGGAGTCACAATTCAACGGCTCAGACACGAGACGTATGTGGCAGGGTCTACAGACAATCATGGACTACAAAAGGAAAACCAGCCATGTCGCAGACTCCGACGTCTCGCTTCCAGACAAGCTAAACACCTTCTTCGCCCGCTTTGAGGATAACACAGTGCCACCGACGAGGCCCACTACCAAGGACTGTGGCCTCTCCTTCTCCGTGGCCGACGTGAGTAAGACATTTAAGACTAGTCATGGATCATATCACTTCTACCTTACCTGTCACCCTAGACTCACTTCAATTTGCTTACCGCCCCAATAGATCCACAGACGATGCAATCGCCATCACACTGCACACTGCCCTATCCCATCTGGACAAGAGGAATACCTATGTAAGAATGCTGTTCATTGACTATAGCTCAGCATTCAACACCATAGTACCCTCCAAGCTCATCATTAAGCTCGAGGCCCTGGGTCTGGACCACGCCCTGTGCAACTGGGTCCTGGACTTCCTGACAGGCCGCCCCCATGTGGTGAAGGCAGGAAACAACATCTCCACTTTGCTGATCCTCAACACTGGGGCCCCACAAGGGTGCGTGCTCAGCCCCCTCCTGGACTCCATGTTCACTGGCCAAGCATGCCTCCAATTCAATCATCAAGTTTGCAGACGACACAACAGTAGTAGGCTTGATTACCAACAATGACGAGACCGCCTACAGGGAAGAGGTGAGGGCTCTGGGAGTGTGGTGCCAGGAAAATAACCTTTCACTCATCGTCAACAAAACAAAGGATATGATCGTGGACTTCAGGAAACAGCAGAGGGTGCACCCTCCTATCCACATCGACGGGACCGCAGTGGAGAAGGTGGAAAGCTTCAAGTTCCTTGGCGTACACATCACTGACAAACTGAAATGGTCCACCCACGCAGACAGTGTGGTGAAGAAGGCGCAACAGAGCCTCTTCAACCACAGGAGGCTGAAGAAATGTGTCTTATCACCTAAAACCCTCACAAACTTTTACAGATGCACAATTGAGAGCATCCTGTCGGGCTGTATCACCGCCTGGTATGGCAACTGCAATTATTTCGGTCAATGGTGAGCTTACCCGTGATGTGATGAATTGTAAATAGTAATTGCTATTAGCCAATTCATATTGTGGTTTCCGTCAGCCGAGAGTTAGCTAAATATGACTGCTTGTCTTACATCAGTCTTTCCTCAGTTAGCGCTAGGACTAACGTAGTCTACATTTTCCGGTTTGGATGATTGTGTTAAGCTGTCACTACTTCTGGGAAACTGGTCACATTCAGGACATCCCTTTGAAAGGACAGTGTTTGTGCAAAATGTTTCTGTGAAAAAACAGTGTGGCCAGCTCAAATGCCAATCAAAACTGGACGTTCTAAATAAGTATTCTAATCACACCGGTTTGAGCGTACGCTGCAGTGACCACTGTAGAATAATCACACCCGTTTGTTGGTACGTGTCAAAGGGTTAAATACATGTAAAAAACAACAACAAATGTTTCCTGATCTCTCCTATATCTCTCAGATATAGGATAGACACTTCAAAACAAACTTCCTTTAGATCATTTTGGGGACTATCTGTTGTTCAATGTGGTGAATCTGTTATTCAATGCGTTTTTATGGGCTAATAGCATTAAGGCCAAAACAAATGTTTTATCAAATAATTGTTTTATATATTTTGTTTATACTTCAAGGGGTCTTAAATTTCAAAATCAAATAGCAAAATGATCCTTGGTATGACCTTCTTAAAACAATTCCATATAGCTTGGACAGGGCTTAGACTCTTATGGGTTAAAGAGTTAATCAGTGTGAATTTCTCTATAAATAGACAGGTATTTACCTCTCCATGGTTGCAAGATCTTGTCATTTTGGTTAATTTTTAAGTTATTTTATATCTTTAGGGATATGAAAACCAAGTATCTCTACTTCACCATCAGCACATTTTATAGGGTAATGTGAATGTTGTGTCTTTTAATGATCCAATATGTACTATGGTACACTTATCATAATTAGGTTTTAGTCCAGAGAGGCTAGAGAAGTTGTCTGTGTAGTGATCCAGATTGCAAACTTGAATCATCAGCATGAATTCAAACATTTGTTTTTAGGCTGTGGATTTCTAAACCCTTGATGTTATTGTTCAATCTTATCTTAAGAAAAAGCATTTTGATGGCCATAACGAATATGGAGACAATGGACATCCTTGTTTATCTCCTCTGGACAGTTCAATATTTTCTGAGAATTAACCATTATTTACAATTTTACATCCGGGGTTGCTATACATAACTTTAACCCATTGTACAAGAGATTCCCCAAAATGTAAATAGTCCAAGCATGTATATATACATTCTAGTCAAACTTTATCAAAGGCCTTTTCGAAGTCTGCTATGAAGACCAGTTCTGGTTTCTTTTAGGTTTCATAGTGTTCTACTATTTCAATTAATTGCCGTATGTTATCTCCAATGTATTGTCCAAGCCTGTCTGATCAGGATGCATACATCTTTCTAATTCTATTCTCTATGATTTTTGCATCACAACATTGAAGTGTAAGGGGCCTCCAGTTTTTTTAATGGATTGGATCTTTATACACTGCTCAAAAAAATTAAGGGAACACTTAAACAACACATCCTAGATCTGAATGAATGAAATAATCTTATTAAATACTTTTGTCTTTACATAGTTGAATGTGCTGACAACAAAATCACACAAAAATGATCAATGGAAATCAAATTTATCAACCCATGGAGGTCTGGATTTGGTGTCACACTCAAAATTAAAGTGGAAAACCACACTACAGGCTGATCCAACTTTGATGTAATGTCCTTAAAACAAGTCAAAATGAGGCTCAGTAGTGTGTGTGGCCTCCACGTGCCTGTATGACCTCCCTACAACGCCTGGGCATGCTCCTGATGAGGTGGCGGATGGTCTCCTGAGGGATCTCCTCCCAGACCTGGACTAAAGCATCCGCCAACTCCTGGACAGTCTGTGGTGCAACGTGGCGTTGGTGGATGGAGCGAGACATGATGTCCCAGATGTGCTCAATTGGATTCAGGTCTGGGGAATGGGCGGGCCAGTCCATAGCATCAATGCCTTCCTCTTGCAGGAACTGCTGACACACTCCAGCCACATGAGGTCTAGCATTTTCTTGCATTAGGAGGAACCCAGGGCCAACCGCACCAGCATATGGTCTCACAAGGGGTCTGAGGATCTCATCTCGGTACCTAATGGCAGTCAGGCTACCTCTGGCGAGCACATGGAGGGCTGTGCGGCCCCCCAAAGAAATGCCACCCCACACCATGACTGACCCACCGCCAAACCGGTCATGCTGGAGGATGTTGCAGGCAGCAGAACGTTCTCCACGGCGTCTCCAGACTCTGTCGCGTCTGTCACATGTGCTCAGTGTGAACCTGCTTTCATCTGTGAAGAGCACAGGGCGCCAGTGGCGAATTTGCCAATCTTGGTGTTCTCTGGCAAATGCCAAACGTCCTGCACGGTGTTGGGCTGTAAGCACAACCCCCACCTGTGGACGTCGGGCCCTCATACCACCCTCATGGAGTCTGTTTCTGACCGTTTGAGCAGACACAAACACATTTGTGGCCTGCTGGAGGTCATTTTTCAGGGCTCTGGCAGTGCTCCTCCTGCTCCTCCTTGTACAAAGGTGGAGGTCGCGGTCCTGCTGCTGGGTTGTTGCCCTCCTACGGCCTCCTCCACGTCTCCTGATGTACTGGCCTGTCTCCTAGTAGCACCTCCATGCTCTGGACACTACGCTGACAGACACAGCAAACCTTCTTGCCACAGCTCGCATTGATGTGCCATCCTGGATGAGCTGCACTACCTGAGCCACTTGTGTGGGTTGTAGACTCCGACTCATGCTACCACTAGAGTGAAAGCACCGTCAGCATTCAAAAGTGGCCAAAACACCAGCCAGGAAGCATAGGAACTGAGAAGTGGTCTGTGGTCACCACCTGCAAAACCACTTCTTTATTGAGGGTGTCTTGCTAATTGCCTATAATTTCCACCTGTTGTCTATTCCATTTGCACAACAGCATGTGGAATTTATTGTCAATCAGTGTTGCTTCCTAAGTGCACAGTTTGATTTCACAGAAGTGTGATTGACTTGGAGTTACATGGTGTTGTTTAAGTGTTCCCTTCATTTTTTTGAGCAGTGTACTTACCTTCTTGCTGTTTATCTGCAAGTCTACCGTTTTTATAGGAGTATTTAAAACATACCCCAAACGATTTAATACAATTCCATGATGCATTCTTTCACTGTCATTCAGTTAAGCCTGTACTCGATTGAACAACGTTGGTACTTAATGCTGGTAAAACCAAGTAAATGTAATTTTACAAGTTGTGTAAAAATTTATCGGATGATTTATGCATACGTACTTTGTATGGTGCCCTCATTGATCGTGTCCCAATTATCAATAGCTGGGCATCTGGATTAACGAAAAGATATCTTTCAGAAAAGTATGTTGATGGCAATTAAATAATTAAAATGATTCTATAAGAACAGGTCCTGTCTTTTGTTAAATAGCAGAAAACTAATAATTCAGTCAACATTCATTCCGGTTATTGACTATAGCGATATAATCTATATGAATGCAGCTGCCACTGTATTGAAGCAATTGGACGCAGTTTATCATAGCACATTGTGCTTTATTATGGACGATAGGTTCAGTACACATCATTGCATTTTGTATCAGAAAGTAGGCTGGCCCTTCTTGAAGTCTCGTAGATCGATGCATTGCGTTCTTTTTGTCTATAAAGCCTTCTTGCATAATGTTCTCCATACCTTACCTCATTGTTAACCTTAAGACGTATAAATTACCAGACCCAGACTCAGGGATAGCTAACCCTGGAGATCCCTTCAATCTCCACCTAGTTAAGTAAATCTGCTTTTAGTTATTTTGCGCCTCATGTGGAATGATCTCCAAAAGTCCTTAAAGTTGGTGGAGTTTCACGTTTCAAGTTTTATTTGTCACATGGACAAGTACAGTGAAATGCTTAAGCCCTTCCCAACAGTGCACTATTCAATATCAAAATAGTATTTTTTTTAAACAAGAGAAATAAGAAGTAAGAGAGGACGATTTGTTGTTGTTGTAGAATGGCAGTACAAATGTAGAATGTGCAGCGATACTGGCGTAGTTAAGGTAGATATGTACATGTAGGCAGGGATTAAAAGAAAGTGACTGGTAGCCGGATAAAGAATAATAATAATAATATTAAACAGTATGGCAGCAGCATAAGTGGTGTGTGTGTGTGTGTGTGTGTGTGTGTGTGTGTGCGCGCGCGCGCAAGAGTTTCAGTGTAGGCATGATAGGCAGATATAAATGTAAACTGAAAAGTGACTGGTAGCAGGAATATATAAATACTTATGGGAAAATACTAATGGTAATATATACATGTAAGCAGGAGACCAGTGGTAGGCTAAATATATATAGTACATACTAAGGGGTAATGGAAATATAATCAATGAACAGCAGTGTAGTGGTAGTTATAAATCTAATCAATAATCATTTTAGCAGCAGTGTTGGTGTGAGGGTAGGTGTGTGTGTGCCTGTGAGTAAGAGTGAGTGAAGGTGTATGTGTCTGAGTGGGTAGAAACCTGTGGATGGGCATATAGTCAGTGTGGATAGTCTGTGGGAGAGGGAGAGCAGTAGTTAGCCATTTAACAGTCTTACACTCACACACTACAGGCCCTCGTAAATTACCCTGTCACACAGCAACATGGCTTCTAGATCTAAAGTTGGCCAAACTCTCATGATATATGACTGTGTCGTGATATGGTGTTGGGTTGCAATTTGAAATACTTGATGGGTACATGTATGAGGAATGTATATGGTGAGGTCAATGGAGGTTGGATAAGATGTATGGGTCTGGAAAGTTACTAAGTATAAAAATGTATGCACTCACTAACTGTAAGTCGCTCTGGATAAGAGCGTCTGCTAAATGACTAAAATGTAAAATGTAAATGTAAGTGAGGGAAAAGGCAATCACTTGGTTGCGGTCACGGATAAGGTTGGATAGCTGTGGATTAGTGAGGAATGTGGGCCGAGGTCAGGTCAGATGAAGGGAGAAGGAACAGTTTTATTACACACATCACTTAACTTCCTGACTAGCAACATAGATATATTGGCTGTCTAGATGTGCAAGGAGGAGACTCCGCCTAATAGGAGAGTATAAATAATTGTGCTGGTTGAAACATGTCTTTGTCTTTTCAGCTGTTTGACCCAGTGGGTGAATACATTTGGTTTGAGCTTTGACTAGTTGTCCGTTATTTTTTCACTCTGTTTGTCAGAACCTAACAATGGTTATTACAGCTCTTATAAAGATCAGCTGGGTTTCAGTCCAAAACCCACATACAGTATGAACATTATTTGCCAAAATGTGGCACACACACACACACACACACACACACACACATACATAAATAGAGAGAGAGACCTACCTGGGAGGGTAGAGCTTCCTTCTCTCAGCAGCGGCGGCATTGCCATTGTCGGTCAGAAGGTATCCTGATGCAAGGGTGCCCACCCCGAGGCTGGCCAGAGCCACAGCCGTGTGATGGCCAGACAGCATACGTGTGAACAAGCTCGCCATGGCTACCACTCAACTTCAGATTATACCTGGGGACAAGTCAGAGGGTAAAGGTCAAAGGTCACATAGCGGTCATGAGGGCAGTGGGGATTATAATCAGTAAGGGTCGCAGGAGTCACTCATATCGTAGTAAATGTAGTACGAGGCCTTCAATTTCTTAATTCACTGTCACATTGAGTTTGTCATTCTCTAATGTTACTTTTGCCTTTATGTACAACTCAAGAAATGTCACTCTCACCACAATATGGTTGTAAACCAATGAGACATTCCCAATGTGACATTGCTATGTTTTCAAATGACTCTCTCCACCAGTTCCAACCGGCCGTGTTGCTGGCGGGTCAGAAATACAGCTGACAAGCTGACACCTTATTAGCAGCCTTCTCCAACATCTGATCAGGGTAGTCAGGTGGGCAAAACATGTCCTGCCTTGAAGTTCAGAGGTCATAAGAACAAAACGCTCCACAGCACCTGTCTACATAAACACAATTGACATATCACCCAAATTAGACTTGCAACATGGAGAATATCCACCGTTTTTTAATAAGATCGCTACCATTTCCTAGCACTTAGAAAGAACACTTATATAGTTGAAAGCTTTTGACTTTGATTCAACTTTGAGGTACAGAATTAAAATACATTGTCATTTGTTAATGTATCTATTAGACACTGATTTAGGTCTTGCAAGTCTGTATATTTATGTTTAAAACACACACACAGTCCTAATAGTTTTAAGTGTAGGATATGCTTTTAGCCTCTTGTGTTTCCGTGACTAGACTGTTCTAGAAGGCGTTGGAGGCAGACATATTTCTCCCTATTGGTCAGACCTGGACAGTGTTCTAGAATGTCCTGGTCAGCTGACCTACCTGCCACATGAATATCATTTTATTTTTTTGTCATTTAGCAGACGCTCTTATCCAGAGCGACATACAGTTAGTGCATTTTTTTTTTTTATATATTTTATACTGGCCCCCCATGGGAAACAAACCCACAACCCTGGCGTTGCAAATGCCATGCTCTACCAAATGAGCTACATCCCTGGCGGCCATTCCCTCCCCTACCCTGGATGAATTGTGTGCCGCCCCATGGGTCTCCCGGTCGCGGCCGGCTACGACAGAGCCTGGATTCGAACCAGGATCTCTAGTGGCACAGCTAGCACTGCGATGCAGTGCCTTAGACCACTGTGCCACTCGGGATACAGCAAATAATTTGAGTCAACAAATGACATCAAATGTTATAGTCTTTACGCTAGGTGAGGTGAGAAGAGTTGTTTTGTTTCAAGACAACAATCTTAAAATACAGAGACTGAGGGTGTCACACACAGACTGAGACAATAACACACAAATAGAGATTAGATTACCACAACAGCTCTCTTTCTTAGAGGGCTATTCCGTCCCTATCCACTCTGACACACACTGTCTCACGGGTCTATTTTAACTGTTGCTGCATTTTATTCCTGGTGAGACTGCCAAACACACACATACACTGTGTCTGTGTGTGTCAGTACTAATTATAGCAGCAAGGGGTGAGCTTAAGCATTAGTGCCAGCCCGGTGTTGGCATCAGCCCTGACCAGCACATGATCCACCATGACATTCTGAACGGGTCAGCTGGACTGACACAGGACAGACAGGGAGAGAGAGAGGAGAGGGAGGGAGGGAGAGGTGAGAGAGAGTAGTTAAAACCGAGAGGGTCGAGACTGGGGTGAAGAGAGGGGAAGGAAAGTTGTGGGGTGTGAAAAGAGAGAGTACGAGAGAGAAGGAGGGGAGTGGGTAAGAGGTGAGTAGAAAGGAATAACAAGCGAGAGAGTGGGAGAGAAGTGGGTGGAGAAAGGGTGAGGGGACAGATGAGAAAGTGAGACTTTCCACATCACTAAGGATCTGTCATGGTCCAAACACACCAACACAGTTGTGAAGAGGGCACGACAATGACTCTTCCCCCTCAGGAGGCTGAAAAGATTTGGTATGGACCCTTAGATCCTAAGACAGTTAAATTGCTGCACCATTGAGAACATCTTGACTGGCTGCATCACCACTTGGTATGGCAACTGCTTGGCATCCAACCGCAAGGCGCTACAGATTGTAGAGCGTACGGCCCAGTACATCATTGGGGCTGAACTCCCTGCCACCCAGGACCTCTATACCAAGCAGTGTCAGAGGAAGGCCCTAAATATGGTCAAAGACTCCAGCCACCCAAGTCACAGACTGTTCTCTCTGCTGCCACATGGCAAGTGGTACTGATGCACCAAGTCTGGAACCAACAGGACCCTGAACAGCTTATACCCCAAGCCATAAGACTGCTAAATTGTTAGTCCAGTTAGCTATTTAGTTAACTATTTAACTATCTTCATTGACCCTTTTTGCACTAACTTTGTTTCACAAAAGCTGCTGCTACAGTTTACTATCTGTCACGTTATTCCTACATATCTACCTTAATTTCCTCTTACCCCTGCACATCGACTCGGTACTGGTACCACTTGTATATAGCCACTTGTGTATCTATTATTACTTTTATTGTTACGTGTTTTACTTTTCTATTATTTCAAAATGTTCTTTCTTCTGCATTGTTGGGAAGTGCCCGTAAGTTAGCATTTGACTGTTAGTCCACACCTGTTGTTTACGAAGCATGCAACAAAATTTGATTTGATTTTAATGGCAGAGGTGTGAGGGGTGAAAGGACCGATAAGGAGAGTAAGGACAGGTAGAAGAGAGGGATGCGGGGTGTGTGAGTGAAGAACCCCGTGGGAGAAAGAGGGAGGGGGAAAAGGAGAGAGGGGGATGGAAAGGACAGAGAGAGGATAGGGGGAGCTAAGAGGGGCTGCCAGAAATTCTCCCTGGGGATATCTGTGGACAGTCAGGGGACAGTTAGTCTCGCGTGGCCATCCTTCCAAATTCCGTCTCATTGACTCAAGTATTAGAAGTCTGGCGAACTTCAGTATTGGATTTTGCGTTTGAATGGAAGCACTGGCATTCAACACTGGCATTCAACGCTGGCATTTGATTGGCTCTGAGTAGAAATGGCATTACCCTAATATAAAAATACATAAATCTACCCTTCAGGAGAGGCATTTCCTTGTTTTTAGTTTGTGTTTTTTCTTATTTTGTACATGCCTCTTTTCCTATCAGACAACGTTCAGAAACACCACCTCTGTTCTTTGCTCCAACCATGCAAAATACTTTTTCATCTAGACTCCATTGTACTCCACCCCTTTTTATCGTCTTACTGAGGAAAACTTCCCCTGGCTTTGGAGCACTAGGTGAGAAGCCTGGGCTTCCGAGGCTAGGGGACAGTGAGGAAGGACATTCCCATGGCTAGCGGAGCGTCTGGAACAGGTGGCTGGTCACTGTCACAGTCAGCTGGATTATTAGGATAATTGTTTAATGCAAGAGGCCACTGTTAAGGCTATACACATTACATTCCAAGGGTAAACTTACAAAAGGAGCTGTACAGATGTACTCAAAATGAAATTGAATATTTTTTAGGAAAGGCTCAATCTGATCCAGGAATACACTGTTGGCTCTATTTTAACAAACCTAATGCAATGGTAAATCTTAGCACTGGATTGTGTCAGAAATATTGTGCTGCCATCTTGTTAGAAGGTAACAGATTATTTTATTATAGTGATTAAGAGTGACTTTCATTGTGTTCCATGGTGTTTAGCGCCCCCTAGTGGAGCTTTCTGGTACTTAGAATAACGTACAAAAACCGGAAGTAAAGTAGTCATTCTGCACGCAGACAAGCAGCTAGAAACAACGCTACTGTACAGTTCTTTCAGTGCAACTATTTCTTGTTACGCTTCAGCCTCGGAAAATATTTGTTTGTAAGTTCAATTCAAGCATATTGCAAGTGATGATAATATTGTTATTGACAGAATTACTTACTTATCAATGTTAGTTGGTTACATTTACTCACGCAAATTGCATTGACTTTCATGGATGTCGTTAGCTGTATTAGTTTGCTCGTGCGTCATGTAAAAGAAGTGTAAAACATACTATAGTTTGTTACTGTTTCTAGTGTAATATGCTTTGTTATTGTACAGAGGTGTTTGTACATTATTAGAGTAATGAAAGGAGTTGGCTAGTTGTTACTCATAGATCAAATCAAATCAAATCAAATTTTATTGGTCACATGCGCCGAATACAACAGGTGCAGACATTACAGTGAAATGCTTACTTACAGCCCTTAACCAACAGTGCATTTATTTTAAACAAAAAAAGTAAGAATAAAACAACAACAAAAAAGTGTTGAGAAAAAAAGAGCAGAAGTAAAATAAAGTGACAGTAGGGAGGCTATATATACAGTAAAATAAAGTGACAGTAGGGAGGCTATATATACAGGGGGGTACCGTTGCATAGTCAATGTGCGGGGGCACCGGCTAGTTGAGGTAGTTGTGGTAATATGTACATGTGGGTAGAGTTAAAGTGACTATGCATAAATACTTAACAGAGTAGCAGCAGCGTAAAAAGGATGGGGTGGGGGGGGCAGTGCAAATAGTCCGGGTAGCCATGATTAGCTGTTCAGGAGTCTTATGGCTTGGGGGTAGAAGCTGTTGAGAAGTCTTTTGGACCTAGACTTGGCACTCCGGTACCGCTTGCCGTGCGGTAGCAGAGAGAACAGTCTATGACTAGGGTGGCTGGAGTCTTTGACAATTTTGAGGGCCTTCCTCTGACACCGCCTGGTATAGAGGTCCTGGATGGCAGGGAGCTTTGCCCCAGTGATGTACTGGGCCGTACGCACTACCCTCTGTAGTGCCTTGCGGTCAGAGGCCAAGCAGTTGCCATACCAGGCGGTGATGCAACCAGTCAGGATGCTCTCGATGGTGCAGCTGTAGAATTTTTTGAGGATCTGAGGACCCATGCCAAATCTTTTTAGTCTCCTGAGGGGGAATAGGCTTTGTCGTGCCCTCTTCACGACTGTCTTGGTGTGTTTGGACCATGATAGTTCGTTGGTGATGTGGACACCAAGGAACTTGAAGCTCTCAACCTGTTCCACTACAGCCCCGTCGAT